CCAGCCACCACACCCGGCTAATTTTGTGTTTTTAATAGAGACGGGGTTTCACCATGTTGGCCAGGCTGGTCTCATCTCCTGACCTCGTGATCCCCCGCCTCGGCCTCCCAAAGTGCTGAGATTACAGGCGCGAGCCACCGTGCCCGGCTTGACAAAGGGGGTTTCTTAAAGGGGGTTGGCTTAACACCTACCTGTGCCTGAGTTTTTTGCCTAAACACAATCAGGTGTCTAGTTTTCTGCTTTCTATTTGCTTGGAAAGGGCAGTTGGATAAACACAGGCTAAGAAAAAAAGGTTTGGTTCCAGAAGGCAAATTCTACTAAATACTCAAGGGTGTGTTACAAGCTATTATTTATTGCACGATTGTGCTATCAGACCTGAGTGCAATTGTTCCCATGGCTGGGCCAGGCTTTGCAGTGATGACTTGCGAATCAAATCTGTCAATCCCCTGAGTGCAGTCACTGATGTCTCCATGTCTCTGAGCAATGCCTGATGGGGAGGGGTCTAGGTATGCCATCCCAGCATGCTCGGTGGAAGCAGGGTAATCAGCTGAGATGTTAGAATTGATCATCCTTCAGCCTGTGAGTGGGAACTGTGTTCTTTTCTTCTGAGGGGTTGTTCATGAGGACCTCCGCCTGCTCTTGGAGACCCACCTGCCATCCAAAAAGAAGAAAGTACTCTTGGGAGTTGGGGATCCCAAGATTGGTGCTGCAATACAGGAGGAGTTAGGGTACAACTGCCAGACTGGAGGCGTCATAGCTGAGATCCTGCGAGGTGAGACCATCATCTGTTATATTCATGTTATCCTTGACATTTTCGGGGAGGAGGTTCTGGAAATGTGGGTCTTGTTGTGACTTCTGGGAAGGCCTTGGACTTGGCTAGTGCCCATGGGTGCAGGAGCTAGCTCAGAGCCCCTTGTTGCTCACCGTCCTGCCCTCTTCTTAGGAGTTCGTCTGCACTTCCACAATCTGGTGAAGGGTCTGACTGATCTGTCAGCTTGTAAAGCACAGCTGGGGCTGGGACACAGCTATTCCCGTGCCAAAGTTAAGTTTAATGTGAACCGAGTGGACAATATGATCATCCAATCCATTAGCCTCCTGGACCAGCTGGATAAGGACATCAATACCTTCTCGATGCGTGTCAGGTAAAGTGCAGGGGCCACCCATAATACTGGAGCCTTTGGTCTGTAGTTTAGCTAATTTTGAGTCTTGATGAGGACTGACCATCCTGTGGGTAGAACCATGTGGACTGGGGCTGGGTCTAGGCCTCTTGGTGCTTACCACAGGCTGTGTTCTTACACTGACTGTATAGAAAGAGGAGGTAGAGTAAACCTACCCTATATACACCTCAGCTCAGGCCCTGTGCCTGGTCTGTATTGTGAATGGGGGAACATAGAATGAAGATTTGTAGCTCTATGGTTTTTGATGAAGCAGCTGGGCCAGGGAGTGACTGTGGCTCTTTGCAGGGAGTGGTATGGGTATCACTTTCCGGAGCTGGTGAAGATCATCAATGACAATGCCACATACTGCCGTCTTGCCCAGTTTATTGGAAACCGAAGGGAACTGAATGAGGAAAAGCTGGAGAAGCTGGAGGAGCTGACAATGGATGGGGCCAAGGCTAAGGCTATTCTGGATGCCTCACGGTCCTCCATGGGTCAGTGCAGAGCCTGGCAGCCTGCATAAGGTATGGGGCTCTGAATATCTGGCCTCCTGCATTCACACTTGGTTTTTCCTAGGCATGGACATATCTGCCATTGACTTGATAAACATCGAGAGCTTCTCCAGTCGTGTGGTGTCTTTATCTGAGTACCGCCAGAGCCTACACACTTACCTGCGCTCCAAGATGAGCCAAGTAGCCCCCAGCCTGTCAGCCCTAATTGGGGAAGCGGTGCGTCACGGGACACAAAAATGGGAGAATAAGGACTGTTGCCATGTGCACCTGCACTGCTGTATTTTTTCACCCACTATGTCTTCCCTAGTTGTGCTTGATGGGGAGGTGGGGAGCAGGGCTGTCATGCAACTGGCAGGTCAGCAGTTCGTTTCTCTGACTGCTTCCTTGACTCTTTCCAGGTAGGCGCACGTCTCATCGCACATGCTGGCAGCCTCACCAACCTGGCCAAGTATCCAGCATCCACAGTGCAGATCCTTGGGGCTGAAAAGGCCCTGTTCAGGTACCAGTGAGGGCACCTGCCCACAATCAGGTGCCACTTCTGGTGCCCACTGCTTGTTGGGGGATCACGGTGATGGCTGACCAGGGCTCCCTGACCTATACAGGCCTCTGCTATGGGGGTGATGGCCAGTCCTGGTGTCTGAGTGATTCCCAGGGCCCAGCAAAGGGACCAAGTCTCCAGGTCAGCGACATCGGATGCCTTCCCTCTGCCTCTGGGAGCTATGGGTTGGCATGCATTGGGGTAGAGATCCAATCTGGCCTGAGGCTCACTCAGGACTTGGGGATGAGAGGTGGGGAGGAGCTGAGCTGCCTTGGCTAATGGGGTTGAAATTTCTGATCTTAAACTCTCCATTGAATATTCTCTCAGAGCCCTGAAGACAAGGGGTAACACACCAAAATATGGACTCATTTTCCACTCCACCTTCATTGGCCGAGCAGCTGCCAAGAACAAAGGCCGCATCTCCCGATACCTGGCAAACAAATGCAGTATTGCCTCACGAATCGATTGCTTCTCTGGTATGGGTGAGGGGGCTGGCAGTTGTGAGAAGGGGCTGGCTGGCTGGGTGGGTGGGGAGGCTCACAACCATAGCTTCCACGATGATGGCAATATTTTTCGTCAACAGCAGTTCACCTAGTGAGTGTTGAGACTCTGGGTCTGAGTGAAGCTGAGGGCAGAGGGAACACAGGGTGGGGGTAGTTTTTCTCTTTGGGCTGACAGGCTTTGTTACTCACGCACATCCAGAGGTGCCCACGAGTGTATTTGGGGAGAAGCTTCGAGAACAAGTTGAAGAGCGACTGTCCTTCTATGAGACTGGAGAGATACCACGAAAGAATCTGGATGTCATGAAGGAAGCAATGGTTCAGGTTAGTTGGGCTTTGCTGGGTGTGGAGAGGCATAGCTAGCTGTTGGAGGTGATGAACTGTCTGAGCCTGACCTCGTAGAGTGGAGGCAAAAAAAACTGATTTAATGAGCCTGATCCAATAATGCCAGAAAGGAGTCCTCAGAGCACCAGAGGTCTTCAGGCCCTTTTAGCACTTTACTTTGACCAGGCAGAGGAAGCGGCTGCTGAGATTACTAGGAAGCTGGAGAAACAGGAGAAGAAACGCTTAAAGAAGGAAAAGAAACGGCTGGCTGCACTTGCCCTCGCATCTTCAGAAAACAGCAGTAGTACTCCAGAGGAGTGTGAGGTCAGTAGGCAGCATGACCCTGGCAGAGATCCTAGGTTGTAGGATTTTCAACAGCAGAATAAAGGATGTGCTGCATCAAGCCATGGTCTTGAGTCCAGGCTTTTGGACTGAAACAAGGACCTGAAACATCTAAAACTACCTCTTGATTCTATAGGAAGGATATAGGTGCTGAACTTGCTCAAGAGCCCAGAGAGCTGGTTGTAGCTCACACCTGTTCCCTGGGCATGTGTGTTCTGTCCTCGGCTGCTTCCCAGGAGTCCTCAACCTGGGGTAGTGTAAATTCCTGCTCTGCTTATTCTCAGACGTGTGTCCGGAGGTGGTAGTGTTTCACAGTGGGGATGGGGGCAGGGAGGTCCCCAGTGTGCTAAGCTACAATCATTCTCCCTGAGATTTTCATTTAGCACCCAGTTTCTTAAACAGTGTTTCAGGGCCCTGTCTGGAACTTGGCATGAGGGTTCTGTTGTGACCAGCATGGTGGGTGTTTCTTTAGGTTTTTTTTTAATGGGCTGAGGTAATTTCTCATTACATGTTTTCCTTCTAATTTGGGACAGTCTTTGGGATGGATTTCTAAAGTTAATACCCACACAATTAAACTATGCCAGAAACACTGGGCAATGTTAGTAACTACACAGTTTCCCCTGCTTTGGCTACTTAATTGCTGAAGATGTAATGGGGGTGTGTGTGATGGCACTGTTCTCACAGCCTGTTCCCCTGTCCTTCCCTTTAGGAGACGAGTGAAAAACCCAAAAAGAAGAAAAAGCAAAAGCCCCAGGAGGTTCCTCAGGAGAATGGAATGGAAGACCCATCTATCCCTTTCTCCAAACCCAAGAAAAAGAAATCTTTTTCCAAGGAGGAGTTGATGAGTAGTGATCTTGAAGAGACCGCTGGCAGCACCAGTCTTCCCAAGAGGAAGAAGTCTTCACCCAAGGAGGAAACAGTTAATGAGCCCGAAGAGGCAGGCCACAGAAGTGGCTCCAAGAAAAAGAGGAAATTCTCCAAAGAGGAGCCAGTCAGCAGTGGGCCTGAAGAGGCAGCTGGCAAGAGCAGCTCCAAGAAGAAGAAAAAGTTCCATAAAGCATCCCAGGAAGATTAGAATGCAAATGGACATTCTCTGGGAGGTGGGACATACCATAGCCCAAGGTGACATCTTCCACCCTGTGCCCTGTTCCCCAATAAAAACAAATTCACAAAAGTTGGTTCATGTTCTTTATTGGACACCTTACATGAGTATGGACAAGGCCTATGGGTGGGGCAAGGCAGCAATGACAGCCTCAGTGAAGTCATGGCAAGTAGCATAGCCACCCATGTCAGAGGTTCGAACCTGTGGGGGAGAATCATCATCATCCATGTGGCCTGGGTTCCAGCCTAACAATTCCCATCACCACCCAACAGTCTCCCCTAAGGAAGCGGGTCCAAGGACAACCTAGGCTCTACCCAGCAAGGTGACCATGGTCCACTGCCTAGAGGCACAAGGTCTCTTCCCTGGTGCACTGCACTGAAGGGTATGGGGAGTGGTCCTTGCAAGGCTGGAAGAAATAAAGGGCTCTAGCTCCCATGGGGGTGCAGGTGACCGATGACAGACTTGATGAAGTCCGTTGTGGTGCTGTAGCCGCCCATGTCTCGAGTCCGCACCTACAGCCACCACCGGCAACAGCCGTGGGGAGGGAGAAAAGAGAGCCCATGAAGGGAGGTAGGGCAATGTGATTGAGGAAATGGAATCCAAGAATGCGTGACAGCCAGAAAAAAGAGGCAATGCACAGGAATGGAAGGAGGAGCCAGGTTGGGAAGCACATGGACCTGCCCACTCCTCTTAAGCCACTATTAGCTGTGCTGCAGCCAGAGCAGGACAGGAGGCTGAGCAGGCAAAGATGATGGGAAATGCAGATCAGAGGCGCGATGTGGCAGGCAAAGATGATGGGAAATGCAGATCAGAGGCGCGATGTGGCTACCTTCCTTGGAAGAAATAGAGACAAGACCAGGTGGAAGGAAAGAATCGCAGTGGAAAGGAGATGGGTGTGAAGGTGAAGCTGATGCTTCAGCCTGCCTGTATCCCTTGCTGTTCCACCCCCAAGGAGAGCTGCAAGTTCTGCATTCAGATGGCCCATGAAAAGGGCAGTGGATGGAGCAGGAAAGAGGGAACAGCAGATGGGATCTAAGAGGCAAAAGAGATCAAGAGGATGAAACAGCCAAGAGAAGGGAGGTGAAGAACAGCCCTGAGAGGGAGGCAGGGATGTCAGGGAGCAGATGTTCTGGGAACCTGGGGGAAAAAGAGACCCCCATTCAGGTTCCCCAGAGAGTAGTACCGAGGTGCTGACCCCAGAAGTACTCTAAACCCTGAAGCCAGCACTACTCTTCTAAACTCACCTTGCCAACTTTGATCACCTTCTTCACTGCATCTGCAATCATGTTGGAGTGATACTCAAGACTGTGGAGATGGACAGGAAGAAACTGTGACTCCCCCAAGACACCTCCCACTAATTTCCCCACCGGGCTCCTCCTCACAACACCCAACCTCTGCCCACAGCCTCCCGTGACCTACTTGAGATGCCGCAACATGTTGGAAGCCGACAGCAGCATGGCTGTGGGATTGGCTATATTCCTGCCCACTGCCTGGGCAAATGGGTGCCGGGCACCCTGTGGAAAGAGGGGCAGGCTAGACACTGGGAGGAGCCAGGAGGGTTACGCAGAGGCTTAGGTTGGAAAAGGACATTATGGGAGGGGAAGGTCAGGCCAGGGTCACTGAAAAGAGGCATGGTGGGCAGCGTGGGGGAAGAACAGGCTAAGATCACTTAGGAAGTGGAGACACTGGGATGGGGGAGAAACGGCAGACTTGAGGTCAGAGAAAGGGCACGTAGGAAGGGCCGAAGGAGAAAGCAGCCTCACTCACCGTCTCAAAGACTGCATATTCTGCACTATAGCTCTCACCAGGGACCACACCAGCTCCCCCAACCAGGCCAGCAGCCAGATTGTCAATAATGTTCCCATAGAGATTGGGCATCACGAGCACATCAAACTGGTAAGGATTCTGCACCAGCTAGAGGATGAAAGGTGTAGGCATGAAGTAAATTCCACTCCCCACCCTCCTCCTCCGCCCCGTGAGTGGAGATGTGGGGAGGCCTCACCTGCATGCAGCAGTTGTCTATGATCATTGTCTCAAATTTGATTTTGGGGTACAGTTCAGCAACTTCCTCGCAGCACTGCAGGAACAACCCATCCCCAAGTTTCCTGTCCATGGGCCAAAGGGGACAGAATCAGCCGAGAAAGTACAGGGGCTACCTTCCCAGGAACCCATCCTACACAAAGTCATGTCCCTCACATGATGTTGGCCTTGTGGACAGCAGTGACCTTGCTCCGCCCTTTCTTGGTGGCATAGTCAAAGGCGAACTTTGCAATCCGCTGAGACTTGGCTCGTGTGACAATCTTCAAACACTCAATCACACCCCTTGCACTCTGGGTAAGAAGACAGCAGCAGCTAGGTGACACTGGGAAGGGAAACAAAGAGCTCCACCTCTCTCCCACCTTCATCCTTGCCCTTCCCCAGTTTCTGGGGCCTCACCTCATGTTCCAGAGAGCTGTACTCCCCTTCGGTCTGCTCTCGAATGATCACCAGGTCTAGATTGTTGTGCCGAGTCATATACCCAGGAAGTGACTTCACATGGACTACGTTGGCAAACAAGTCCAACTTACGCCTGAGGGTGGGCAGGGCCATCAGCTCCGCTCCTGGTGCCCTGACACCTCTCGACCATTCGCCCCACCCAGACCACCTACCTCAGCCGCATATCATAGGAGGCTAGCTCCCCCTTATACTCCATCGGAGTATGAATCTTTCCTGTGTAAACAAAGTGGGAAAAGGAGTGTCAGGCACTGGCCAAGACCAAGGGAACCCAGACCAGTGTCTAACCCCCTTAGGAACATAATGTAACCCAGACTCCCATCTCCCATTCCCAAATCAGTAATTTTTAAATTGTTGCTGGGGGCAAGGGACAAAAGAGAATAATGTGGTTATAGCCAGAAACATTTCATCTATTGCTCTGTGTGTGTGTGGGGTGGGGGGGAGAGACAGGGTCTCACCCTGTCACCTAGAGTGCAGTGGCGCTATCTGGGCTCACTGCAACCTCCACCTCCCAAGTTCAAGCAATTCTCCTGCCTCAGCTGCCCCAGTAGCTGGGATTATAGGCATGTGCCACCATACCTGGCTAACTTTTTGTATTTTTAGTAGAGGCGGGGGTCTCACCATATTGGCCAGGCTGGTCTCGAACTCCTGACCTCAAGTGATCCACCCGCCCCAGCCTTAATGCTTTATTTTTAGTCAACATATTTAATTTAGGCTGAAACTTCAAAATGGAGAATGGATTTTTTTCTATTTATCAAAAAAGAGCCTGGGTTTAATAAGAAGTTGAAAAACAATGCTAGCAGATCTGTGATCTTTTAGATGTTTCTGTGCCTTCTCCTTATTTGACATTTTTTAATCCAACAACTACTGATGAATGTCAATTATATGTCAGGCAATAAGGATAGCAACTAAAACCATACAACTCCTGCCCTCGAGAAGCAAACGGTACACTGGGAAAGACAGAAAATATGAAAGACATGATAAATACCATGGGAAACAAAGAGGAAATCCTCTCCAGTAATATCAGGATATAGCACAGAAGAGCTAGCACTTCAGTCACGCCTTAAGTTATGTGAGCACAATGGGCTCAACAGTGATCCCCAAAATGACTGTCCTGCCGTGAGCCCCAGAACCTATATATGTGACCTTATTTGGGAAAAGAGGCTTTGCAGATGTAACTAAGTTAAGGATCTTGAGAAAAAATCGTCCTGGATGAGGGTTGGCCCTAAATCCAGTGATTAAATATTTAAGGAGAAAAATGATACAGAGATAGAGAAGGAAGAAAACCACAGATACTGGGGTGATGCATCCACTAGTCAAAAAACAGCAGGAGCCACCAGAAGAGGCAAGAAAGGATTCTCCCCTAAACCTTCAGAGGGAGCAGGGCCCTGCCAACACCTTAATTTCAGACTTATGGCCTCCAGTACTGTGAGAGAATACATTTCTGTTATGATAAGCCACCAGGTTCATGGTAGTGTGTTAAGGCAGCTATGGGAAACTAATACAGTGAATGAGTGACAAGGACTCTAACAGGTAGCTTCAAAGAAAGAATGTTCTGGGTACAGGGAACAGTATAAGTCAGGTAGTACATATTTGGCATCTAACACACAATCTAGTGTGATTGAAGCACAGAACAAGAGTTGTGGAACCAAGGCAGAAAAGTTAAGGGTCAACTTATAAAGTACTGACTTTCCTATGGTAAGGCTGACCTGGAAAAGTCAGGCTGTTCTTTCCAAGAAAAGAGATATGGAAGATGAACTGTAAGGGCAGAACTAGAAGCCAAAAAATTCAAACGAGGAGATTAACGCATGGAAGACAAAAGAAAAGGGGCAGCTAGGCAGGGTGGCTCATGCCTATAATCCCAGCACTTTGGAATGCTGAGGTGGGTGGATCACTTGAGGTCAAGAGTTCGAGACCTGCCTGGCCAACATGATAAAACCCTGCCTCTACTAAAAATTCAAAAATTAGCCTGGGCATGGTGGCTCACGCTTGTAATCCCAGCACTTTGGGAGGCCAAGGCGGGCAGATCACAAGGTCAGGAGTTCAAGACCAGCCCGAATGACATGGTGAAACCCCACCTCTACTAAAAATACAAAAATTAGTCAGGCGTGGTGGCACACTTCTGTAATACCAGCCAGCTACTCAGGAGGCTGAGGCAGGAGAATCGCTTGAACCCGGGAGGCAGAGGTTGCAGTGAGCCAAGATGGCGACATTGCACTCCAGCCTGGGAGACAGAGCAAGACTCTGTCTTAAACAAAACAAAACAAATACAAAAATTAGCTGGGTGTGGTGATGCACACCTGTAGTCCCAGCTACCCAGGAGGCTGAAGCAGGAGAATCGCTTGAACTGGAGATGGGGAGGTTGCAGTGAGCAGAGATCACACCACTGCACTCCAGCCTGGGCAACAGAGTGAGACTCTGTCTCAAAAAAAAAAAAGAAAGAGAGAAAGAGAGAGGGGGAGAGGGGAAGAAGGGAAGAGGGGAAGGGAAGGGAAGAAAAGTGGGAGGGAGGGAGGGAAAGAAAACAAATGAAAAGAGAAGAGAAGAGAAGAAAAGGGGCACCTAGAAGTGGTATTCCAGAAATGCAATGAACAAGATTTGATGACAGTTTATGTAGCCTCAGGACAGACTCAGAACCCCTGGAACTTTTCTGCATAGACAGCTGACATGATCTCTCAACTCCTGGGTTCCCAATGGGAAAGAACAAATGTCCAAATACCAGTGGTGGTTGCCCTGGAGAGTTAATATAATTGCATACCATGTGGGGAGAAGGGCTTAATAAACATTTGATCATTTGACTTTAAATGGCACATGGACAAGTGGCAAGAGGGCACACATACCAATGATGGCCACTTTATTCTCCTTCATGGAACTCAGCACCTGCTCCAGCTTCTCCTCAGATGCCATATTCTGCACCTCACTCAGGTGGTGCTCCTGGAACTCCACTGGGACAGCGGCAGCCTTCAGAGACAGGTTCCCAAAACATCACAGTCAAGGCCAAGTCCTTTCCAACCCACTACTGTCCTCTACTGTCTGATTCCCGAGGCGACTCACCTTGAACACCTCCTTGACGGCGTGCATCAGCTCAGGTCCCACACCGTCTCCCGGAAGCATGGTCACGGGAAAGGAGCCCTCCACCCTCACGTCCTCGGCCTTAATTGGGGGAAGAGGGGAGAAGCAAAGATAGAGCTGGGGCGGGAGAAGGGATCCTGGGAGTAGGGAAGTGGGGAGACCCGGGAAGGATGGAGAAAAGCCAGGGGAGGGAGCAGCGAGGAAGGGGCAGGGTCGTGAGCGAGACCCCAGCCAGATTCATGCATACCTGGCTCCGCGATGCAGCGTGCGCCGCGGCCGAGGTACTCAGACCTCTCCATGCCCCAGGGTTCCCGGCGGAGACCAACGCCTACAACAGGGACACACAAGCCTGTAAGGTCAGATTTCAGACATCCAGACCCCAAACACCACAGTTGACTTTGCCCTGTTTAGGAAACCCCAGGACAAAGTCTCCGCTCCCTCGCCCGCCCCTGCCCCACATGTCCTGGGCGCTCACTCGGGTCAGCCAGCGGACACCGCTCAGTGCCGCCATGTTTCCCGCAGAAAGTCGCGTGAGAAGTGACGCCTGAAGCTGGCGCGGCCCTCTACCCCGACTTCCGGCCTGTGCTGAGTGCCTGGTACTTCTCTCTCTGCGCCAACCAGCGCTGCTTGCTCACGCCTGTTTCTCCTCTTTCTTGCCGGTGGGGAGGTCATGGGATGCGCGAGCACTTTGTCTCTTGATTTATTTTCAGTCGCCATATTTAATCTACGTGGAAACTTCAAAATAACATTAGGGGGGAAAATGTAACGTCATGTTTATCAGACGAGGAGCTGAACTTAACAAGAGATTGAGAGAAAATCCTTGGGAAGCTGTTAAAATTGTGTCAATGCGTTTGTTATTCTTTTAACCAGTACTCACTGAATACCTGTATGTCAGGCTCTGGAGGAACACAGTACAACCATGGGAGGTGTGTGTGGGGTTTCTCCGCCAGTCTCCGAGAGTGCCCAGTACCTCTGTATTACCCGTTGCCTCGTAGTTTTTTTCTTAAAGGGTCTTGTTCTTTGCTGTGACAGTTATTTCCCTAATAGTGTGTCCCGGACTTGAACTCCCCAGGACAGGCCCATAACTAGTGCCAGAAATGAGTTCAAGCGTGTAAGTGTGACTAAAGGGAATTTCAGACTGATCCTTAAAGTAACAATCATAAAAAATAAAGAGTTTGGACAACATAGGGAGACCTCGACTCTACAAAAAATTTAAAAATTAGCCAGGCGTGGTGACACACCTGTAGTCCCAGCTACTTAGGAGGCGGAGGTGGGAGGATCACTTAAGCCCAGGAGGTGGAAGCTGTAGAGAGCCGTGATGGCACCACTGCACTCCAGCTTGGGAGACAGGGCGAGACCCGTCTCAAAACAACTCCAGTCACGATATTAGGTGTGTACAATTGACACACCTAAAGACAAACTGATACAGGAAGACTTGCCTCACCCACTCTTCTGGAAGTATGGTTTTGGATCACCTATGCAGATGGACCAGAGCACTTGTTAAAAATGTAGGCTTGTGAGTCATACCTCATTTGCTGAATCCAAATCTCAGTGTCGCGGGCCCAGAAAATATATCTCTAACAGACTTCCCCTGTTAATACATGCTGAAATGTAAGAACCACTAACTAGGTTCTCTGTGATAAGTTCCTCCTCCGTATATACCTCAACCAGCCAAAAAGGTGGCAAGGCAAAGGCATTCCCAGTGGTTCTAATCTTGGGGAACAAGCATAGGCTTTGTGCCTCCTCTGCAATCCTTTAGGTGAGACATTCTCCTATATAGTAGTAGGATGAGAAGATTAAATTAGATAATGTGTAAGAGTTTTGAACAAATGAAAAGTACTGGGTAAATACAGAGCTGTTATTATAGCTAATATAATATTAATATAACACACTCCTCTATTTCCATTCATATATCCCATGAAACCAACCAAAACCAGAAAGCACCACCGTCTTGTTCCCATAGACTCCCTAGTCCAAGCTTCCACATCAGTATTACCATTCGTCACCATTTTTCTTCTCCAAATATTTCTCCTTCTGACTAAGAAAAAAAATGGAAGATTTACGAACTCTGCCTCCCGGGTTCCAGCGATTCTCCTGCCTCCGCCTCCCTGGTAGCTGGGATTACAGGCATATGCCAACACACCCGGCTAATTTTTGTATTTTTATTAGCGACAGGGTTTCACCGTGTTGGCCAGGCTGGTCTCAAACTCCTGACCTCAGGTGATCCGCCTGCCTCAGCCTCCCAAAGTGCTGGGATTACAGGCATGAGCCACCGCACCCAGCTAGATTTACTCTTTTTAAAAAACTACATTTTCTGTTACTTCAGGAAATTTAGGATAAGAAAGAAGAGAGATGTACCATCTTAATCCAATCTCTGATAGCAATCTAATTTTCTTGAGGGTAACTACATCATTTCCATCCCTAAAGTCTGCACAGACTTGTTCCCCACCTAACACTCAAAAAATATCTGCTAACTGATAAAACACTAAGTGACTGTCACCAGGGTGAAAGGAACTGATGGAGGTCACCAGTGGACACAGGCCAAGGAAATGAGACCATTATTGTCTGAAGGCCACTGTGTTCTCCCCATGAACTCAGCAAGCTCTCCTGGCCTTCAAGTCCCCATGAGGGCATCTTTGACCAATACTGCCTGATAATGGAGAAATCCAGTCAGGACCTTTGAAAAGTTTCTTAACCAGTCTCCTGGGGGATGGAAGGGAGGTTCTACCATCTTGTTCTCTTCTGTTGTGGAGTCTCCTCTGCCTAGCACAAGAGGCCATAATGATGGATAAGCTGCCTGTACTTGAGTGTTCAGTGTGAAGCTGAGTGACTTGAATGTCTGCTTCCCAGGCCTGCAAATCCTCCAGCACAGGAGTCCTAACTTGGGGTCTACAGAATCCCCTCAGTGTCCATGAATAGGAATCAGTACTGTGAACCCGGATGGGGAAAAACCAAAAATCACATCTTTATTCTCACCTCTAACTGAAATTTAGCATTTCCTTTCATTATGAATGCAGGTCACAGATTACAGTGCTACCTGTAGTACTCTTGACTTTGTCAATCATAAAAAATATAGATATTTTCATACTACATTTTAGTTACAGTAGATATCTTAAAGTATTACTTTAATCCCTATTTTTACATTATTTGACCCAATGCTAGATTGTGTTATTTAATGAATTAATAAAGCAGCAAACATAGTAATATGTTACAAGGTAGCTTTATTCCTTTTTCTTTTTCTCTTTTTAGAGAGATGGTTTTAGTCTGTTGCCCAGGCTAGTGTGTGATCATGGCTCACTGTAACTCAAACCCTGGGCTCAGGAGATCCTCCCACCTCAGCCTCCCAAGTAGCTGGAACTACAGGCATGCGCCACCATGCCTAGCTAATTTTTAAATATTTTGTAGACATGAGGTCTTGCTATGTCGCCCAGGCTTGTCTTAATCATATTTGTCTTGTCTTGTAATTCTATTTATTTTGTGTATTTAAAAGCCTCTTCTTTTTTTTTTTTTTTTTTTTTTGGAGACAAGAGTCTTGCTCTGTTGCCCAGGCTGAAGTGCAGTGGCGTGATCTTGGCTCACTGCAAGCTCCACCTCCCAGGTTCACACCATTCTCCTGCCTCAGCCTCCCAAGTAGCTGGGATTACAGGTGCCTGGCACCACGCCCAGCTAATTTTTTTTATATTTTTAGTAGAGACGGGGTTTCACCGTGTTAGCCAGGATAGTCTTGATCTCCTGACCTCGTGATGCGCCCACCTCGGCCTTCCAAAGTGCTGGGATTACAGGCGTGAGCCACCATGCCCGGCCTAAAAACCTCTTCTAAGAAAGATTCCACAGGCTTCACCAGCCTTCCAAAGAGGTCCACTGCACACAAAAGTTTCAGAATTTCTGGTGTGTTAGGCCTACTGGATCTTTTTCTGAAACCATGAACAATCAAAAGAGTAATATAACAAATGACAATTCCTTGAAAATTAAAGTCTGAAAAAGCTTCTTGGGAGAAAGAATTTGATCTGTGGTTGAAAGGATAAACAAAATTACAAAGAAGAAGTGATTACAGTCAAGGAAAATGGAAATGTAAGCAAAGGTACTGTCTCTTATCAACTGCCCTAGAAGCGGAGCCCAAGACAGGGATGCTATGCAATTGACCTGTTGAAGGAGTGCTCTCAGGAAAAACACATCAGAAGGCGAATGAGCAGAAGATTGCAGGGGAAGGAGCTCAACGAGATGTGGCCTCAGCCGGAGTCCACCTCAGCCCCATCTCCTGGGGAGCTCTGGAGCATGAATGACAACTCAAGGTTGTCACAATTTGAGACAAAGCTTAACAACCCTGCTTCACCCCTGCGTGGCATAGGTCAGGGACAACCCTTCAGAGAAGGAGGAAGCTGTGAGCCATTAGTGGCCAATACCTGAAGCAATTAGGGGAATGGATACACCAGCTGGGCAAAAGGATCTGGCCAAGGCAGCCACTACCTTGTGGAGGTGACAGTGAGCATGGTATGCTGACGAACAGTGAGGCGGGCAGACATATTTGAGGAGATGAGTTATAGTAAGGATTGGTGAGTAAGTAAGGACCCTGTTGAGGTTGGTGACCGTTAAATTTATTGTGGTGCAATTGTGTGTGATTTCACGGTGAAAGCAAACACTTGAGTTCATCCAAAAGTGATATTTTGCTAGAGAGAGGTACAAGGGAGTTGAGAGTGTTGGCAAAATGGGATCAGGAGGTAAGTGAAGATAGAAGAGATCTAATCAATAGGCAGGTGAGGAAAGAATCAAAAACCCCCAAAATATTCAAAGAGTAGTATTTGTGGGGGTCATTGAGCAACTAAGATGGGAAGAGAGGATGCTGCTTCCACCAGTGGTTTTGGAGGTGGAGCAGATGCTGGTGATGATGAAGTCCCAGATGGGAAATGGGAGTGGATGCCAAGGAGAGCTCAAGGACCCTGCAGATGAGGACTCAGACCCACAATATTGATGAGGCATCCATATCACCATGGGTGTCAATGAGGATAGTGGCCTCAGCTGAGGCAGGGGAAAGCTGGGATCCAAATGCCATAGTCTTCTCGCAAAAGAGACGAGGAGGTGAGAGATGGCAGAGAATGAGAGAGGTGATATCAGTTACCAGAAAGAGCCCCTAAAAGGCAACACTACTTTTTTTTTTTCTGTTAGTTTTAATATAAAATTTTGCTTTAGTACTTTTAGACAACCCTCTTTTAAAATATATATAATATATAATATATATGTGTGTCTGAAGGTTCTTACCACACCAACCACAGCCCCAATCTTTTTGCCCTAACCTCAGAATCAGTTAGTTGTCCCCTTTAAAACCCTTTTCTTACACACACACACACACACACACACACACACACACGGAATATATGTTTTTGGTGTATGAGTGTGTGCTTCAGAATAAATGGTTTCATACTCTATATGCTTACTGTTCCATAATTTACTTTTTTCACTTAACACTGTATCTCAGATGTCTTAGAGAATGAGCAGCCTCATTGTTTTATTCTGTAATATAAATTAACTAAATTTATGGAGCCTTTCTCTTTTTTTTTTTTTTTTTTTTTTGGTTTTTTTGAGACATAGTCTTACTCTGTCATCCAGGTTGGAGTACAATGGCATGAACTCGGCTCACTGCAACCTCCGCCTCCCGGGTTCAAGCAATTCTCTTGCCTCAGCCTCCAGAGTAGCTGGGATTACAGGCACACGCCACCACGCCCAGATAATTGTTTGTATTTTTAGTAGAGACAGAGTTTCACCATGTTGGCCAGGCTGGTCTCAAACTCCTGACCTAAGGTGAGCCGCCCACCTCAGCCTCCCAAAGTGCTGGAATTACAAGCATGAGCCACCGAGCCCGGCCTGAGGCTTTCTTAAATTGATGACAGTGTGGTTTCCAGTTTGGGCCATTATCAGCAACATTGCTGTGTACATCTCTTTATGTC